ATTATATACATGCAGAAGAAATGTATGTCCTCATAGAAAAAAAATTATTTCCGTCTCCTCGCCTGGGAAAGGAAATTCAGTCACATTCATAAGAGACAAACCTGGCCATTTCGTCGTGGACTCATAGTGAGCAAGCTTGTCTTGCTAGATATATTATGACTAGGTAATGAATTAGATCCTCACTGGGTGCTCCATAGATTCGGAATTGTCTCACATCTAAGCTACGCTTAGAAAATCCGCAGCATATCGACGTGGTGCAATGGTTAGCAAGCTTGTGTCGCTGGATCTGTTATGACTAAATACTGAGTTCGAACCTCATTGGGTGCTCCATACTTTCGGCCTTGTGCCAGATCTAAGCTACGCTTAGAAAATCCATGTGTTGTAATGGTTAGCTTTCGGACTTAATGAGTTCGATCCTCAATGGGTACTAAACTAAACTGCTTAGAAAATCCAGAGGACATTCATCTGGTGTAATAGTTAGCAAGCTTCTCTCGCTAGATCTATTATGACTGAATAGTGAGTCCGAGCCTCACTGGGTGCTCCATACTTTCGACCTTTTGCCACATCTAAGCTACGCTTTGGAAAATAACTGTAGGGAATCTCGCTGTGGTGTAATGGTTAGCAAGCTTGTCTCGCTAGAACAATTACTTCTGAGTAATTGGTAGTTTTCAGTAAATATTTTCCAAAGTTGGCTAGCATTTGCAGCGGATAAAATAGTTCCTACAAACAGTAAAACAGAGTCCCACACTGAGCATAAAATATGGAATCGCCAATGTTACCCGCGGAGCTATGAGTTGATTGGTCCGTTTAGTGTACTTGTCATCGTATCTTTTGTTTTAAAGCTTCATAATTCTGTTTATTGTACGAGGTTGTATTGAAAGGTTCTCGGCTCGACCAAGAAGACCTTACCTAAATCTGGTTGGGCATCATAAAAGCTAGCGAGGAAGATGTCTCAACAGTTAACATGCTGGCCAGCTATATCGGGAACACGTATAGTCTTTTCCACGATATGGGTCAGCTCGTATTTGATGTATTGACCTTCTTAATCTGTCTTGTTTGATTGGATTATCTATTCCTTATGGCGAATATGTAAATCGGTACAAATACGAATATTTGGTGAGGAATGATCAGAGAGGATGTCATCTTTCGTCTCTCACTCAGATATTCTAAAAAAAAAAAACGTTACAATTCCATCAGGGCTTACGGTCACATCGCGTTGAATCACCGGTTCCAGCATAATAACCAAAGTTAAGCTACGTCGAGCTTGGTCAGTTATACCTAGATGGGTGACCGCTTGGGAATACCAGGAGCTGTACCCTTGGATGGGAGATTGGTATCCAGATATATGGATACAGACTCAGCATATATTTTAAAGCGCATATGCCGAGTCACTAAACTTGTCGAGTGCAAGCAATGGTCAGTTCAAACTTTGTAGGGTGAGGGTTATTCGTCGAGGCTAACTTGGTCGCCAGGGCGCTTTATTGATATTTACTCAATTTCGCTTAGTCTGACTCAAGGTCAAAAATGCCTGGCACCCAGTGAGAATCAAGATTACTATGCCAAGGTAAGGCATTCCTGTATTGAATGTACATGATAGAAATAGATTCAGACAGATATAATAATTGAAATATAAGGAATAGAGGAAACCACTAAAGTGGTGATAATGATAATTATTGGTGATAATGCTGCTGATAATGATAATTGTGATGATGATGTTGATAAAGATGATGCTTGTTATTTTGCTGAAGATTGATGCTAGTGTTGGTGGTGGTGGTCTTAGTAGTGATTATGGTGATGATGATAGTAATAGTGATAGTTAATGATGCTGATAGTAATGGCGCTGATGAAAGTGGTAATTTAGCTGCTGCTGATAGTGATGGTGCTGCTGATAATGTTGATGTTAATAATGATGGTGATGTTGGTGGTAGTGATTATGGTGGTGCTGTTAATGTTGATGATTGTGGCAATGATGATGGTGATGATGATAGTAATAGTGATAGTTGATGATGATGATAGTAATGGCGCTGATGAAAGTGGTAATTTAGCTGCTGCTGATGGTATGGTGCTGATGATGATGGTGATGTTAATAATGATGGTGATGTTGGTGGTAGTGATTATGGTGGTAGTGATGATGGTGGTGTTGCTGCTGATGATAGCAGAAAGGAAAATGGTAGTTAGGGGATTTATGTTTTATATTTAGGATAAAACCATAGGGATAGATGAATGGAAATAGAATAAAGAGGCAAAAACAAGAAAGAAAGAAAGAAAAAAGAGAGAAACAAGCAAAAACAAGAAAGAAAGAAAAAAGAAAGAAAGAAAGAAGAACATGAAAGAAAGAAAGAAAGAAAGGACAAGAAAGGACAAGAAAGAAAGGAAGGAAGAAATAAATAAAGAAAGAAAGGACAAGAAAGAAAGAAAGTACAAGAAAGAAAGGGCAAGTAAGAAAGAATGAATGAAAGACTGATGTAGAGAGTGGGTGTGTCTTCATATGTAAAAGCATCAAGTACTATATCAGATTTAACCATTCAGGCAGACATGAACAAATTAAGTGAGGCTGAAAAGAAAAAAAAAAGAAACGAAAAATTAAGCACCCCGAATTCTCTTCGGACAATTGAACTCTTTTATGTTCTTGATGTTGGAACAGAACAGAATTTGGAAGGTTAATGACTGTTCTCAAGGTTATAGACAAGAAATGAAGTTCATATTGAAGCAGACGAAAAATCAGGGTAGACAGAATGAAAAAAAAAAAAAAAAAAAACAAAAAAAAATAATCAAAAACATTGGTCATGTTCCATTTTTTGAGAGAAAGGTATGGAAGCAGACAGGCAATTAGTTTAATGGACAGATAGATAGAAAGAAAGTTTTTCTCAGATAGCAAAAGATGCTTACTGAGGGAAACAAGCCATTGGATATTTTTCAGATTTTACTCGATTAGCTGTGGAGGTCACGAAAGCTCAAACAGAATTCTAAAGTTTCGTAACCCGCGGCAGGTAGTCTATTTAGCCTATGGAATACGATTTATTAATTAACTGATGAATTAAATTTCCTTCCTAAACTTTCTAATTGCGATAGTCAAGTTATTAGCACTTCGAATTGATAGAATAACGAGCGGATGTATTTGTGATTTTGTAATATTGTTTCCGTTTGATAGAAATTATACTTTGATATTACATTCACAAATGAAGAATAAAAGAAAATTACAAACGAACTATTCATCGAGCGAAGGTCATCTTAGCTAAGCATTCATTTAGTTTTAGATAATGCTATTTTTCTTCAAAATGATCTCTGTAACAAAGGATAAAAATAAAGGATATTTCCGATAGAAATAGTTGTTGGATTTGGATGAAATTTTTTTTTTAAGCAACTTATCACAAGAAAATGCTAGAGACAAATAGCCTAGCCAATGCAACTTGTTACAATATATATATATATTTATAATGCTGGGATATTTAACAATGTTCTATTAAATTAATAAATGTTAAATTAACATTTAGTAGTTTGTGTTTAATGAAAAACAAAATATGCTAAGAAGTTGTTTGCAATATCGTGCAAAAAGTCAAACCGAAATGATTATCTGTATATAATTTTTTAAGACGAAACTAAATATAAGAACCAGAGAACTAGAAAAAGACTGAAGGTGTGAAAATAAGAGGCGGTGTTCGACAAATATGTTTTAGTAGAAAAAAAATTACAATCACGTTGAAGAGTTTATACATAAAAGGAAAATTAATACAAGTTTTCTTCAGTGTTGAACACGAATGAACATTTTTCACATTAGTTTAATTTTCAGGTAAAATAAATGTAAGTACGGAAAAATGTTATGAAATTATACTTTTTAGTAGTTTTACAGTACACTCAGAAATGAAGAATAAAAGAAAATTACAAACGAACTATTCATCGTGTTAGGGTCACCTTAAGCGTTCATTTATTTTTAAATAATGCTATTTTTCTTCAAAATGATCTCGGTAAAAAGGAGGATAAAATATGTGTCCGATAGAAATAGGCGTTGGATTTGGATGCATTTATCGTTTTTAACACAAACACAAAATGTCCCCTTTTTTGTAACTGATCACAAGAAAATGCTAAGCTAGACAAATAGCCTAGCCAAATTAAATTGTTACAAAAAATACTGCTGGGACATTTAACAATGCTTTAATTAAATTAATAAATATCAAATTATTATTAGTAATTAGCTACATTTTCTTACGTGCTAATACCCTTGGGAAAGGTATGAATGCAGTTCTTCTCCCCCCTGCTATGGGTAAATAGCAGGACAGACGGGTTCTATAGCTTTGGATGCCAACTGGTCTACCGCAGAAAGAAATGGAAACCTACTGCGGAAAAAATATGCCTCGTCAGTCATGTATCGAAAGATACATGATCGCCTAAGCATGTATCACGCATGACGTGCTAATACCCTTGGGAAAGGTATTAATCCTCTTCTTCTCCCCACCAGCTATGGATAAATAGCAGGACAGACGGGGTTCTATAGCCTTGGTTACCAATTAGTCTACCTCAGTACGGAATGGAAACCTACGGCGGGAAAAGATCTGCCTCATCAGTCATCGAAAGATACATGATTGCCTAAACGTGTGTCACGCATGGTTTGTGTTTAATGAAAAACAAAATGTAAGTTGTTTGTAATATCGTACAGATTATTGTCTTACCTATGCGTCAATCACATCATCTGAGGGATTCATTTAGTTTTCTAATGACACATAATTCACGTTTTTACCGCCTCTATCTTTATTATCTATCTTTAATACCCTTTAACGTTTCAATCCAATCAAGAGTCATTCTATTAGGTTGTTACATATATTCGTTCGATTATTTCTGATGTTCTGCGAATGTTCCAGAAGAATAATCTTTCGCTAGCATTTAGTGCTTGTTAGTAACTCCTGTCATCCTGTGAAACAGTTGCCTAATATTATTGAAATTTTATTTCAAGTTAGCCACGCTTTGAGATAGAATCCTCGAGAGATTTGTTCTATGTACGATGACTTTATTACCAACAGAATGGCACAGAAATGGTTTTCCCACACCAGACCAGATATAGTAACAATATTCAATGCATAGATGAATGGTAGATTTATATATCTGCGAGAGAGATTCTAATGAGAAATATGTACTGTATACCATTACCTCTTTTACCATTTGATAAAGAACATCTACAAATCAAAGAGATGACCTAATATCTATATAGAATTTTCTGTGATACAAAAGGTCAGAAACTATTGTCTTCTTTATTTTTCATAACATTTCAGAGGTAAACTTATTTTTATATTTTGTAGGAAATAAGTTTTTGCACAAATTTCAAGTTCTTTAAATTAGGATTGGAAAACAAAGGCTACCAGAATTTTGCATTGATCTATTAAGATGATCATGTATAAATAGCTCTTTTTACTTTATGTTTTAATAAAAAAAAAACTCTTAGTTACTGACTCAAGTAAACAATTAAAATTGTTTTAAAGTATTTAAAAATCAGTGGATTTTCAACATTTTGCAAATATCAAGTTGTTACATACATTTGTTCATTTTTCCTGATGTTCTATGAATGACCTCAAAGATTAATCTTTCATAACATTTTTTACTTCTTAGCTCTGGATTGTCCTGTAAAACTGTTGTTTAATGCTATTGAAATTTTATTTCACATTAGACACCTCTTTGAGATGGAATGCCAAGTAAACAAGAATGATCATGTTCAACATCATCATCATCATCATCATCTCTCTTCTTTTTATCAAGTTGCAAAGCTGCTTGAGACATTTGAGCTATGTACAAAGATGACTTCATTACCAACAGAATGGCACAGAAATGGTTGACCCGTTCCAAAGAGAGCAGGTTCGAGCTCACAGACTCTTCGAGTTCTGGCCTATCTGTTCAGTTTGATGAGAACCAATTGCACGCGCTGACCATTAGGGAATTAGCTCAGAAGACGGCAAGCTCTCATATTACTGTCGCTCGTCATCTTTACTCATCTTCCCTCAATGGGTAAGGTCCAAAGAGAAGTTGTTACACGCAGTGACTAACAGAAACAAACTCCGGCCCTTTTCCATTGCCACCAGGTTACTCGTGGGTAAAAAAAAGAACGCGTTTGGAAAGTTTTGTCTCATCAACCATATTTTGGTGATTTAGTCTCTTCAGACTGTCACCTATTATGTTCGCTTTCTAACAATTTGAGGGGTGTTTTGTTCAACAACGATGTGGAGCTTTAAATGAAGCTTGATGAACTTTTCTATTGTCCAGACATTGGTCAGTTAGTGGATCATTGGCCGGGGGTCGTAAACAATGAAGGGGAATACACTGTTGAATTATTCCTCAGAACTATTAATAAATGATATGTATTAAAAACGATATAAAAACGAATAAGAAATGCTAACATTGTTGCTGTTATACTAAATTATACGTATTAAAAATGCTATATGTTGGCTGAAGGGGATCGATCTTCATTTTCAAGCCTTCAAAGGGTCCAAAATTAATTACGTGAGGCTTTATATTTTCCCCAATCTGCAGTTTCTTTTACACAGACCCAACGTTGCAAGCCTGTAGATTCTCTATGGTTATTTTCATAGCAATTGTTCAGATGAGATCGATTCTTTAGTTCTAACAGTTCAGCTCTTTACTGCTAGGACGCTCCATGATACTTTCATGGAGTTGAATCATCCTTATTTCTCCCGACTTCCAAATCTAAGAAAGAAGTTCCACACAAACAGCTTTTCCCCAAGAACTGTCACATAAGAGAACAGATTCCTGCTTGGGGGCTTTCCTGTCCGCCATAACAATTTGAGGGGTGTTTCGTTCAACAACGATGTGGAGCTTAAAATGTATATTGATGAACTATTCGAGTTAAACCTAATGATTTATATCGTCGAGACATTAGACAGTTAGTGAATTGTTGGCTGGAGTTGTAAGCAATGAAGGGGAATACACTGTTGAATTATTCATCAAAATTATTAATAAATGATATGTATTAAAAACGATATAAAAAACGAATATAAAATCTTACCATTGTTGTGGTTATACAAAATTGTATATATAAAAAATGCTATATGTCGGGTTGAGGGGATCAATCCTCATTTGCAGGCTTTGATAGGATCCAAAACTGCTTACGTGAGGCTTTATATTTTCCCCCATTCTGCAGTTTCTTTTACAGAGACTCAAGGTTGCAAATCTGTCGATCCTTTATGGCTATTTTCATAGCAATTGTTCAGATGAGCTCGATTCTTTAGTTCTAACAGTTCAGCTCTTTACTGCTAGGACGCTCCATGATATTTTCATGGAGTTGAATCATCCTTATTTCCCCCTGTTGGACGTAGTTTATTGTATTATCCATATATAAATTCACCATTACCACTCCCAAAAGGCATCTCAGATTTTCGATGAACAAAATTATATTTATCTTATATTGAATAGAAACTGAATACGTTCGTTTAGTTTCGAAAAAATTATTAAAAATAATTAGTGTATGATACCTAACAGATAATGTTCCCTCTGCGTGGC